TGGCTCGCATGATTCTGAGGTGAGATAAAAGTCCTCGGAGAGCTGTGAATAACTGAGATTTGGTCAACCAGTCGGTGTTATTCTAGTGGGGTTATTCGCCACTATATATATACCATGCGATCAGGAGGCCCGATTAAAAAATTTTCACTAATGACCAACTATTAGCGAGTGCTGAAATCTATCTACACAGCCTTCAACCACCTCCCTTTCGTATCCGGTATAGGCGCACACCTGAATCGAACTACCTTCCAACCACATACCTGGTTCCAATAACTATGACAATATCGAAACCGGATGAGTGACCCCTTTCTTTGATGCCCACCACCAATCCTCCCTCACCCATACGTGTTTGACTGTTGATGTCATTGTTTGTCGTTCAATCGCAAGATAGTTGTTCGGCAGGACTGCGGCTCGTGCATTCCTGTATCCCGTACGAAACATAAAGCAGACACAAACTGTGAAACAAGGCACGCAAATACAGTCACATGTACAGACAATGACACAACAGACACTTTACTATACGCGTATATTTAAACAAACCAATCATCTGAAACGATACATCCTGTCGGGAGAAAGGGAACCAGTGGCTGTCACTCGGTTAATGATCCAGGTCACTGCTGATAGAGATTATCTGCCCGTAATTTCCTTCCGAGCAGAATTTTAACCTCAAAACTCTTGCGTGGAAAGGTTTTCAAGAACAACTGTGCTCAACAGACCAAACTTGAGCTGACCACATTTACCTACTAATGTCATCTTCATAAATAATATTTCAATTTTGATTGAACAATTTTCAAGGAGGATTTGACGTAGCCCCAGTTAGCTTTGGTAGATAAGCTCCACTGACGCACTCCAACGAGAACCGAACTCGCGTTTGGCACTTCTAAAATGCATGTCTGATTAAATGAACTGAGCGTTGTACGTAATAATATCAAGTCAAAATGGTGGTGAGTGAAAGATCAATCACAAAGATCCCCAATCACAATGCACAAATAATTCTACTTCAAAATGATAATTGTATGTAGTGAAAATTTGGCATAGGATGTTGGTGGTGCATTCTGATATAAAAGGCATTTCACCACGGTAGAACTGGTTCCTTGCCATCCGCTGGAATTCATTCACTGAGGTGCAATGGTTGCCGAGTTAATGATTATCAAGACTCTGTAAAGATTCTGTAAAATGATCACCAACGCTCACCGCTTGTGATCTCGCAACATTTGTCATAGGTGCGAACAAATACAGCAGTCGAGCATAAGCTCAGCTTAAAGAAATGCCATCACGAAAGTGTAGGAACAAAACTGTCATGAAAACTACCTGTAGTGAAACAAAAACCGCATACAAGTCTTTCCGCTGTTAAACGTGACGCATTTTCATGACGTGCAAGCAGTTTTCTCATTCTTAAATGAAGAGTCCTGGAAACGAGTTTTACAGCTTAAAATATTGACTTTACGAACGCTTGTCTAAATAGGGGTTGCATATTCGGTTTTCAATTCTGGTAGCGGTGTTGAAGAACAAACAATATGCAAACATTTCAAGAGAAATATCATTTTTTCCTTCTCTCCGGCGTTTTCATCGAACTGATTGAGTTTTACATTTGCGAATAGTGGCATACAATTCAATGTCAACAAAAGCATCTCATTTCACCTAGTTTGAGACATATGATCTGAAGTAGAATATCTGGGTTTTGTTATTCGGACACATTTCACCATGGTAGTCAACTTGCATGACACCATAACCCCAACTATGTTTAATTGGGAACTTTACACTTCCTTTGTGGATAATGGCGAACCAATGCCACATTTAAGATACATACTTAAAACCATTCACAAGGTCTACAACCTTATCAATGGAATCCTAAAAGAACTTCCTTGATTACTTGGCCACTAAAACGAGACATGGTTTTGTCTGACAACAAACAGCGTCTGCCCTCCATCATCAGAAGAAACTTTGACACAATCAGGCTGACTTTTCATCAACAGATCAAACGTATGCCGATGGTAATCAAAGCACCCCACTTCTTGTTTTTGTGCAATTTTCTGTTAATTTTAAGAACTTTACCCGTGTAGAAACCCAAACATTAGCCGGCGAGATGGATCAGAAAGTCCATTCCAGAGACACGTTGTCGGGATTTTATTCCATCCGGATGTTGCATGTAGCCGAGGATAAGGTGAGGTCCAACCCGATACTGTGTGCACACGAACAGTAAGTGGCCTAGAATTAACCTGGAGGCTTTTACACAGATGTTTTTTTTACACATCTTATCCCGGTGTGTTTCCTACCCCTCTGTTCTTCGTTTATTGTTCTTCCCGATATTGGTATGTTGCTATTTGGTGCCTTAATCCCGTTTTTTATTGCCTAATGACTGTAACAATATATTTATATATATATGAGAGCCAACAATGATAATTATCAGCAAACTTATCTGTTGAAAACACTATAGAGGTGCTTTATAATTTTCCCTCTTCTCTCGATTAATGGAAGTTCCCACTGTTTTGTTGAATTTTCTCTCTCCCCTCCCCTAATGATTACAACAGTCACCGAAATCCAGAAAAGAAAAACATAAACAACAACATGCTGCTATTATCCATTCAGAGTAATCACTTTTGGAGCTTTTCTGTTTGAGTGCTGATCTAGCCTGAAAAGCTGTCGGTTGAATTGTTCGACAAAACCCTAGCATCGTTTCTTCCGATGGTTTTAATTACTCAACTACTACCACAAGGTTCGTGATTCCACAAGTCAGATTCGTGAAGAGAAGGTCATTTATTTGGAGAATGGCATCGGATAGGGATAAATATGATTACACACAAAGAACCGTCGCATCTGGAATATTTCAATCATAATTCCAACAATCACGTGGGATAGCTAATAGAGCAGTCCGACGACAGAAGTGCATTTTCTTTGATAACAATTTTGGACGCACCAATGCACCTTAAAGGATTTTGCTCATGCTTGATCGTTAAGAGATACCACCAACCACAGTTTTTGGTGCAATCCAAATATAGTAGTCGGGTAGTAATTCATAACACTGGGTAGCTTATTATTTCATATGAAAGTTTGGACTACTGAGTAAGTTCAGTTTGCTTGTTTAACCCTCAACCGATTTCTGTGATAGTGAGTTCCATCTATCAAACTTCAGCACCCCGTTCTAACAAGTCGTTCTAACGTTGATCGACCTCATTGTTCATCAAGCATTGTCTTTGACAATACGGTCGTCGGTTTCCGAGTAAATTTTATTTATTCGTGTCTCGTGCTCAGTTCACAAAATAAGACCATATACATTGCGTAGACATCTGCACTCCGTTATGTTTGAAACACGTTGAACAAACATGCGTTACTAAACATTACACCAGAACGTACAACCAAGGCATTATATTTGGGAGACGAAATTTTTTTACTGATCGAGTGTGAGGCTACTGTACCGCGTGTCATTCATGCAATACAAGAGTAACTTTTCGGATCGATTCATGTACCTACAACAACCAATAGAGCGATCGTTATTGACTTTGGAAGACTACCATGTGAAATCATATAATGTTCATTTACGGGTTTCTTATCCGTAGCGGAGAAATTCCGTCAAACGTTCATTTAATTTACAAACAATATGAAGGAACCGTATTCTATTCGTCAGGCAAATTTTTGTTATTTGTTCAAGTATACTAACTATATTTTAAGCAAAGTATTCGACTGTATTTCGGCTTTTGTTCAAACGAGAGGATTTAAGTTTAGGGAATCGGGAATTCAAGGGAAGTGCCGCCATCATGACAAAAGTTAACCTCGTGAACACATGTTAAAGACTGAAAAACAGCCGAGTTTATTTCATCACTCTAGTCCTACTACTCTAGTAAGATCAGTAATGCATGCATTTGCTTATTCTGAGGGCCCTTTGCAATGGAATTCGAATGAACAACCATGCAGAAGTAGAATAATGAGTAGTCTCGACACTCTTAAAAATGCGATGTGAAGTACCTACGCAAAGACGTAAGCAGCTGCACTGTCGGCCCACGAAAACCTAAGGTTTTCCTGTTATGACCTTATGTGGTTCGCTCTGCTAGGTCCACGCTAAGGTTATCGGTTTCTCAAAACGTACTTTTCGTTAACTTTCACTTCACACAACGCATCGCTTCACACGCTCACATTCACATGCACTATCAAATACCTTTCACTATCACTCGCGGTCTTAGCCGCATTATTAATTCTGTACATCGCTACCGTGAACTTAAACACCCCTTCTTCTTTTCTTATCCGAGATCCCATTATATTATTCAAGGGATTCCACACACACACACACACCCAAAGATGCGCTCCATTCATTCACTCCACTCGACTCTTCCGTAAGCGTTTTCATTCCCCATTCAGCACTAATCTGCTTCTCTATCTGATCTTGATATCTCGCATTGTGAATTTCAGTTCTTACGACTAAAACTTTGTAGTCTTTTGAGAAGATTCCGTAATGTGGATTGCCCACAAGCACATATCCCAAAGTCAACATAAGATGAGATAGTTACGAAGTGTGATACTATTATAGTCAACGGTTGATTAATGCAAAATAAGTACATCCCTCGAATTGTGAGGCAAATTGG